TTTTTGTTTGTTTTTTTTTTTTGTGCTACCCCAGACTGTGCTCAGGAATCACTCATGGTAGGCTCAGGGGACCATATGGGGTACCAGGGATTGAACCCAGGTGGGCAAATGCCTTCCTTACCATACAGTCACTTTGACCCTCGACTTTCACTGATTTTTGAATGATCTGTAGGTTGACACACCTAGAGCTATTCATGAAACTACCAGAACAAACATCTTGAGCCATCACACAGTGGTTAGATAACCCCTCTAGCTAGTGATTGTTTTAGTGGTATTGTTATCATCTTGGTAGTAATGTCTTTGCAGTTGAACTATTTTCTGATGGTGCCCTTTGAGAATGGCCTATAGAACGGAAGGGATTGGGTGGTGGTGGGATGAGTTGGCTCAGTCTTCAGCTTGAGTAATTTTTTTTCTGTTTCTGTAGCATCATGTTCTTCTAGGTATGTTTTCCTTTGAAGGAAGATTTAAAAAAAAATACATGGGAAAATCAGTTTACATTGGAATTTTATCCTCTGTGGAAACACATAGAAATAAATGTTTAATACTAGTATCTCGCCTGCACGGCAGAGCCTGGCAAGCTCCCCGTGACGTACTCGATATGCCAAACACAGTAACAACAAAGTCTCCAATGGAGACGTTACTGGGCCCGCTTGAGCAAATCGACGAACAACGGGAGGGCCTTTACCTTTACCTTACTAGTGGTAAGAAGCATAAGCCTTAGACTGAATAGATTTGGATAAATGTGGAGGTCATTAGGCATACTGAAAGTAGTGATTTTTGGCCAAGAATATAGCTCCATGACTGAGTGTACATCTTGCATGTGGTGTGCTTCAGTTTGATCCCTGGTGCCACCTGGTCCCCCCCAAGCACCACTGAGAGTTACTCCCAAGTACAGGGCTAGAAGTATCCCCAGGACACCTCTTAGAACTGCTAAGGGTGACCTACTCCCTCCACCCCCCAAGAAAAAGATTCTTCACGATGATTCATCTCTTTGAATTTTGAAGTGAAACAGGAACATTAATGAGCTTTACAAGACATAGCACAGCGGTAGGGCGTTTGCCTTGCACGCAGCCAACATGGCCGACCCGAGTTCGATTCCTCCGCCCCTCTCGGAGAGCCCGGCAAGCTACCGAGAGTATTGGATATGCCAGACACAGTAACAACAAAGTCTCCAATGGAGACGTTACTGGGCCCACTCGAGCAAATCGACGATCAACGGGAGGGCCTTTACCTTTACCTTTAAGCAATTACAGATTGAAATTAAAATACCATGTATTACAACAACATCTAGAACATGAACTATCTGAGAATAAAGCAGGTGTAAGCATAGGAAAGAATAAGAATAATCTGTATCTAAATACAGACGTGATGTATAGCAGTCGGCAGTCTGTCATTCAGGTGGACCAGAGCATTGATATTCTTTTTTTTTTTAAGAGCATTGATAGTCTTATAAGTGCGCTTTAGTCCTTTTTGAAAACAAAGCTTTATTCTTTTAGAGGGAACCATTAGTCTGATTTGCGGTCAATCAGTTGTCTCGGTTTTCTCCTTTCATTGACCATTTGAGTATTCATCCTTTAACAATCTCCCTAATAAAACAAACCTCTCTATAAATGGAACAGTTGGGTTTTCATCAGGATTTATTTTACTTAATATCTTTTAAAGGCTATGTGTACATTATGTGAGTTGAAAGGTTTGTTTGTTTTTTTTATTGGAGTTGCTATGCCTGTGAATACATCACATGTACTGCTCCTCTTGCTTTCCTATGTGCTTGTTTTTCCACATTTTGACTACTAAAAATAAGTAATGTTCTGCGGTGTTACAAGTAATGCTTGCTCCTGCTTCTTTGTATGTCTCTTTTTCCAGGGACATTGGTTTGGGACCTGAAACATTTCCATCACTGGGAAAGCTGTTTGAAATATCAATTCTTAGGACCCATTTCATTTTTTTGAATCAAAACCCTAGGGGTAATTTGTGTTTTAACAAGTCATGGAAATGATTTTTATTTTTAGTATGAATTGAAGTTCATTGTTTAGAGTAGAGGTCAACAAAATATTTGACCTGTGGGTCAAATGATGACAGCTGCCCATTTTTGCATGTAAAATAAGACTGGCATTTGTAGTTCTAAGTAATTGAAAAAAATTAAAGTAAGTGTAATAATTCTTGGCATAGACTAGAAGAGTATGTTAAATATAAATTTCAGAGTCCCTAATAAAGTTTCATTGTGATAACTGTTCCTGTATACTTACATATAGCTGTTTTTTTGCTACAGTGGCATACTATGTACTTTTTTAAAAAAATTTTTTATTAGTGAAACACCATGAGGTACAGTTGTAGACATACAAATTTTTGTGCTTGGGTTTCAATTATACAATGATCGAGTACCCATCCCTCCACCAGTGCCCATTCTCCACCACCACGGATCCCAGTATCCCTCCCACCCCCCTCCCACCCATCCCACCCTGCCTCTGTGGCAGGGCATTCACTTTTGCTCTCTCTCTCCTTTTGGGTGTTGTGGTCTGCAAAAGAGGCATTGAGTGGCAATCATGTTCGGTTCTTAGTCTACTTTCAACATGCATCTCCCATCCTGGGAGCATCCTCCAAACACCCTTTATTTGGTGCTCCCTTCTCTATCTGAACTGCCCTTTCCCCTAGAGTGCCCGGCTGGCCTCAAAGCTATGGAGTAATCCTCCTGGTACTGATCTCGGCTATTCTTTGGTATTAATCTCCTATTTTGTTACTTTATGTCCCCCAGATGAATGCAATCTTTCTATGTCTATCCCTCTCTTTCTGACTCATTTCGCTTAGCATGATACTTTCCATGTGGTACCACTTGTATGTAAAATTCATGACTTCATCTTTTCTGAGAGCTACATACTATGTACTTTTGATAAAGACTTCTGGCCCCAAAAGCCAAGAAAGCCTGCTCTTGGAGCTGGAGAGAGAGTACAGGTACCTGGGTTAAGGTGCTTGCCTTGAATCCTGCCAACCACAGTCAGTCCCTGGCACTACACACAGTCCCCTGATCACTGTCAGGGGTCGCTCCTGAGCACAGAGCCAGGAACAAGCTCTGATCACTGCTAGGTGTGGTTCCCTCACCTGCCCACCCTCTGAATAAAAAAGATGACCCTTGAGGGTGGAGGGATCACTCAAGTGGTAGAACAGATGTTTAGCAGGTACAGCGTCCTGGCATTGTGTCATCCCCCTCTCCCCTTCTCTCCCCCTTCCCCTCCCCCCCCCCCCCCCACACACACACCAGGTCAACAGGTCAAGCTCCTGTGTTGGCTTCTGTTAGGTGTGAGGGATATTTGAATCAGGGATCACCTAAACTTGGAATTTTTCTAATGACCCGTGTCCATTGAGCAGAAGAGTCTTGTGTTAGAGACCCAGCTTCATGTGGGTCTAACTTTGCATATTGATCTTTTGTGCTTTAAATAATATGCTTTTCAAAGTCTTTTTCTTTGAAGTTCTTTTTAGGTTGATCTGAATAATAAAACCTGCTTCACTGAAGCATCAAATTGTACTGCACTTGTTTTACTTTATCTGTTTCTGGATATTTTGGCTTTAAAAAGTTACTATCAGTAACGTCGTGATAGAGGAAAGTTTTCCAGTTAGTGTATTAGTACTGTTTGTTGAAGATTAATCCTGGAAATAAGCTTGTTAGTACCTGTTTTTTCTGAGGCTTTTTGATATGTTTTGTCTTTATGTCCTACCAAGTATGGTCCTGAGACTGTATTTTACACCTTTTGAACTATTGCTCTTTCAATATGTAGAAAGCTCTGAAACATTCTTTTTTTTTTGGGGGGGGGGCACACCAGGTGGTGGTGCTCCTGGGCTATTCCTGGCTCTAAGCACAGGGATCACTTCTAGCAGTTTTCGGTGGTATTCGGGATTGTACTCAGGTCTCCTGGACGCAACATAGATGCTCAGCCATTTGCACTGTTACCTATCCTCCACATTCTTATTATCATTTGCTTTTATCATTTAACTTATAAGAATATTGGCTGTTTTACTTTTATATTACCGGTACTATATTATCCTGTATTATTATATTATATTACCGGTACTATATTATTATTATTATATTACCGGTACTATATTATCCTGTACCGGTACTATATTATCCTGTCACTGTCACTGTCCTCCTGTTGTTCATCGATTTGTTGAGCGGGCCCAGTAACGTCTCCATTGTAAGACTTGTTGTTACTGTGTTTGGCATATCGAATACGTCATGGGGAGCTTGCCAGGCTTTGCCGTGTGGGCAAGATACTCTCAGTAGCTTGCCGGGCTCTCCAAGAGGGATGGAGGAATCGAACCTGGCTCGGTGAGGCCGGCTGTGTGAGAGGCAAATGTCCTACCGCTGTGCTATCACTTCAGCCCCACTTACATCCTATTTTACCTAAAGGTTTACTGAGAATAACACTGATGTCTGTTGATATAAATGTTTTTATCAGTTTATTTATGCTTGATCTTTGTTTCTGGATATTTAATTTTTTTGGTATTTCTAGTCATCTATCAGTCAGTTCTTTATAAAGTCTTAAGTCAATAGATTTACATGGATTTTTTTTTCTCAAAAAACTAAGTGTTAGAGTTGGCTTATAGTGCTAGAAAATTGAGAAACAGACCACTCTTAGCTGCATGGGGGTCTTTTCATTTGGTTATAATTCTTAAATTGGGATAATTCTCATTTTTAATCTCGATTAATTTGAGTTTTTGTTCTTTCCCCTCATATTGCTTTTTTCTCTGTTACTGTTCTTTTTGGTAGATATCTTCAGAAGGTAGCAGAGTAGAGAATTGAAAGCATGGTGAATTTTAATTTTCTCCTACGTTTTGACTTCATTAGTGATAGTAATGATTTCTTATCATCTTAGGAATGATTGGTGCTATCAGGGTACTACAGTTTTTACTTAAATGTGGAACATCACTAGAATAGGAAAGTAGTTTATTGAAACTTAGGGAAATCTTTAAGTTTCTTAAATAGTATGAAATATGTTTCCTTGTAGATAAGTGACGAAGAGAAGAACCTCCGTGAACGGGAGATTATTGCATCCTCGCCTTGTTTGAGTGGCACAAAGTTAGAGTTGGAGTCAGTTTATAAGGTATGTAGACTTTTTTTTGCATCCCAAGCAGTGCTCAGTGCCCACAGCTGCTCCCAACAACACTTGGCTGATTAGTCTTTCATTGCTTGGACATGCCATGGGCGCTGCTCGGGCCTGGCAGTGTGAGGGACATCAGGGATACCACAGGAGGTACTGGGGAACACTGAGCTGCCGGAGGTCTAATTTGAGTCCTGCTGGGCAACGTGTGGCCATCCTCAGGGGCTTCTCCTTTTGTGGGGGGTGGCGGGGAGGAGCTGCGGGGAGGCTGGAGAACCACACATGTCCATGCTCAGGAGTTATTCCTAGCTCTGTACTCGGGAATTACTCCTGATGGTGCTGGGGCTTGGAGGGGGAGGATGGGTAGGGAGGTTGTTACAATGTGGGATGCCAGGGATTGAACTCAGGTCGGCCACATGCAAGGCAAATGCGCTATCCACCGTATTAACTCTCCTTCTCCATCAGGAGACCCAGACTTGATCCCTAGCACTGCCTGGTCTCCTAAGCACCACCTGGAGCAACCCCAAGCAATGAACTGGGAGTAGCTCCCAGCACCACTGCTGTGTCTCAAAAGCAACGAAATTATTTTCTTAAACTTTATTGGGTGGGGGGTTGGGACACACCTGCTCTGGGCTCAGGAGTCACTCTGGTAATGCTCAGGGAACCCTGTGAAGTCCTGGGGACCGAAGCAGAATGAACACATGGAAGGCAAGTAGCTTGTACTATTCCTCTGTCCCCTCCCACCCCCATCTTCCCCTCCCCCCCCATAATAATACACATCTACTTTGACTCTATTTTTGGGTTTATTCTTGTACACCAGCTTCACAGCTTTTGTGGTACAACTTAATGCCTCAGTAAGATTAAGAGTTAGTATTGATCATGTCATACTGGAGCGATAGCACAGTGGTAGGGCGTTTGCCTTGCATGCAGCCAACATGGCCGACCCGAGTTCGATTCCTCCGCCCCTCTCGGAGAGCCCGGCAAGCTACCGAGAGGATCTCGCCCGCACGGCAGAGCCTGGCAAGCTCCCTGTGACGTATTTGATATGCTAAACACAGTGACAGCAAGTCTCAAAATGGAGACGTTACTGGGCCCGCTCGAGCAACTCGATGAACAACGGGAGGACAGTGATACTGCGCTACAGTGCCGAGCTCTCCAGTGTTTCTAAACTCTTCAATAGTCTCTGAGTTTTGTCACATATATGACATCGTACTTTAGATGTGTATCTAACTTTTTTTTTATATGCCAAACACAGTAACTACAAAGTCTCCAAAGGAGACGTAACTGGGCCCGCTCGAGCAAATTGATGAACAATGGGAGGACAGTGACAGTTATTTTAATAAGCCTCTTGTCATCCTGCCTTTCTTTCTCTTGTGATGATTTCATCTTCTCTACGCTAAGGGGGTGCTGACACCTGTGCTGGACCTTCCTACAAGATCCCACTCGATCCCTCCTGGGACTCTGATACTGCCCTGCCGGACTGTCTCTTAATGGGGTACCCCCCTCTCCAGTCTCGGCCCCGATCAGGGATACTCTCCTGCAGGGAAACCCTTTTTGTTACAATTGGTACCTGATGTCATTATTTCATTTGGACTCTGATACTTTCTCCTCACATAAATTCTTCTTTGGCCTTCTGAAGGTCCATAATCATGCCCTGGGCCACTTCTGTTTCTACCACTCCATCTGATGCTGATTTGTTGGAACCCATTGAATGACTGTGAGACTGAATCGTTCAGGGAAGGAAAGAGAGGAGAGCTGAAAATTCATTTTCAAATTTGGTACTTGCAGAGCTGCAGATATGGTTCAATGGGCGGAGCACACACTCTGCATGCAGGAGGCTTGGGTTCAGTCTCTGGTACCACGTGGTCCTCCCATGCACCACCTTGAGCAATCTTGGAGCACAGAGCTAGGAGTAATCCCTTAACATTGCTGGCTATAACCCAGAAACATATATATGTATATATATGCATATATATGTATAAGCATATCTATATCTATGTTTATATATATTTCTATAAAACTCCAAATAAAATTTGTATGTTATAATACCCCTTTCCTCTTAAAATAATCTACTATTTTGAGTGTTCCAGCTTTATAATCCTACTGACATTCTGGCTTCCCTTGTTCTTGTTCTGCTAGCTAGGTCATCATTTAGTCAGCTTCCAAATCGAACTGACTCTGTCACTGTCACTGTCCTCCTGTTGTTCATCGATTTGCTCGAGCGGGCCCAGTAATGTCTCCATTGGAGACTTTGTTGTTACTGTGTCTGGCATATTGAATACGTCACGGGTAGCTTGCCAGGCTCTGCCATGCGGGCGAGACCCTCTCGGTAGCTTGCCGGGCTCTCCAAGAGGGGCAGAGGAATCGAACTCGGGTCGGCCATGTTGGCTGCATGCAAGGCGAATGCCCTACCTGCTGTGCTATGGCTCCAGCCCCCAAATAGAACAGGAACCAATGTTTATTTTTCCCATACTCCACATTCCCCATTTGTTTCTGCTTGAGCATTTTCTAATAAGATAGATAATTAGAGCTAAGGAACCCGTACAGGTCATTTAGAGGGTCTCTTCCTTGGTTCCCTTGTGTTTATAAATCCAGCTGCTACGGTTTAGAAGCATTCGTTGAAGTACCAAATCCTAAGTCGGCTCCCGAACTGAGCATGAATTCCAACTTCTGCCCCTTTTCCTACCTGGATGGCTGAATTTAAGAGCAGTTTGCCTTACATTGGTGTCTCTTATTTTCTCAATTTAAGGAATTACCGCACCATTTTTGATGGGGTTCAAATATGGTTTGAACCATGGGAACACCTACAAGGGCGATTAGAGGCCACCTTAAAAGCCTCTATCCCGCTCGGAGAGCCTGGCAAGCTACCAGAGAGTATCTGCCCTGCAAGGCAAAGCCTGGCAAGCTCCCTGTGACGTATCCCATATGCCAAAAGCAGTAACAACAAGTCTCACAATTTGCTGAGAGATGTTACTGGTGCCCGCTCGAGAAAAAAGATGAACAACGGGAGGACAGTGCTATTGTGCAGTGCTACTGCTACTATATTCTGCTCTCCCTTAAAATTTTTGGATAGTGCATAGGATTTTGATTTTTTCCTTTCTGGTCACACCTTGTGATGCACAGGGGTTGCTTCTGGCTTTGCCCTCAGGAATTACTCCTGGCAGTGCTCAGGAGACCATATGGGATGCTGGGAATTGAACTTGGGTCAGCCGCGTGCAAGGCGAATGCTCTACCTGCTGTGCTATAGCTCCAGCCCTGAGTGCATTGGATTTTTAAATATGGAAGTAGATCCAGGGTCAATAAGTAAAATAGCAGAAATCCAAAACCAACATATAATTCTTGAACCCAGCTGTAGAAAGCAAATCACTTCACAATGCTTTTTCAGCATGTCTGATTTGGGGGGGGGGTAAACTCTAAATAATAGTGGTGAATCTTTTATTGAAACAATGAATCTAATCAAAGCAGATAGAGTGTTAACTAGAATTCATCTGCCCCACAGGGACTGGGAGGGGTGGGGGGTGGGGTTCTATTGGGGTTCTTCATGGTAAAAAATAAGTTTTGGTAAAGGGAAATGTGTTTGATATTTGCATGACTGAGACCTAAACCTGAAAGCTTTGTAACCTTTCCCACGGTGATTCAACAAATAAATAAATAAACAAATAAATTAAAAAAAATATGGAAGTAGAGTAGTATTAGTAAGGTTTCAAAGAATATTTATTGGTCACCTATTATTCCCATTTCCCAATATGGAAATTAGCTTCTCCATTCTTTCTTTTTTTTTCTTTTTGTTTTGGAGCCTCACATGGCAGTATCCAGGGCCTACTTCTGGCTCTGCACGTGGGGGTCGCTCCAGGTGGTTGTGGGCATTGAGCCTGGGCCTCCAGCATGCAAGACAAGTCCTCAGGCCTTTGAGCCCTCTCCTCAGCCCCTCCAGTGTATTTCTTTAGGGGAAAGAATGAAACAGAGATGAAGAAGTTTGGAATTACATTTCTTATAATTTTCAGCACTGAACATATTGTGTGCTCATTAGAATTCTGCTTGATGCAGAATAAAACTGAAACTTGAGAACATGAGAAGAATGCAATGTGGTTTGAGGGCTTAATTTTGGAGTCTGAAATCAAGGAGATTATAATTTGTATATTCATGAATGAAGAGTTAAGGAAGCTCTCTAACTTGGTTTACTCCTTTTTGAAACATTTCTGAGAAGAACATGTTTTTGGACTATCCCTCCTTCCTTAAGCTAATTTAGTTTTAAGCAGTATAAATTGATCTTTGCACTCCTTTTGAACAATCTGCTGGGACTAGTGCACTTCTCATAGGAAGAATTTTGTTTAGATTAGAACATATAAAGATTTAGAAGGATTTTGTAATGATAGGCGTTGACTTACTTTCCCCCTTGCCCTTTGAATTCAGATTCCTTTTGCTGATGCTCTGGATTTATTCCGAGGAAGGAAAGTGTATTTGGAAGATGGCTTTGCTTATGTGCCACTTAAGGACATTGTGGCAATTATCCTCAATGAATTTAGAGCCAAACTGTCCAAGGCCTTGGCAGTAAGTCGCTTTATTTTTATATGTTCACATTTTCAATGATGTATCCTCGGTACTTTCTTCTTCTAAACAAATAATTTAATTTTCACAATTAAATTTAGATTGCTTATAGTGTTGTGTACTGATATTCCAGAACGCTTAATTTATATTTATGAACCCTTAGATTTATATTTACTTCTTCTAGTTTTCTTATTTTTTTCTCTCTTCTAGCAAACTAGTGATGAGTGGATTAGTTTTGTGAGTTGTCTTTGTGAGTTCCTTAAGGGTTGTGTGTTTTTTCCCTTGGAGATTGGTTTCATTTATCTTTCTAATAATCTAATATACAAAGAAGGGTATGTGGCAGATTTCCGTAAATTAAATTTTTTTCTTCTTCTTTAGAGAATGAAGATGAGTGATCTAAATATGCTGACATGAAGGATAAAACAATGAGTTCCTAAGTTGAAAATAGATTTGTTTTTTAGAATAAGAAATAATCCTTTTAAATTTTAAATTCCTTTCTTCTTCCCTTTTCACTTCCTGCTCATTATCCCTGTCCTCTAACATCTTTTTAAAAAATGTATAGTTATTTAGGATTTTTGAAATAATCACAAGCTTGCAGAAAAGTTGCAGATGAAAAACATTAACTTTTTCTTTACACCATTTGAGAATAAATCCCTGACTGATCTCATCAGCTTCTGCAATTTATAATTCTTAGAAAACAGGGACTTTATTCCATATAACCACAGTTTAACTGTCAAAATAAGGAGGATTTAAATGACTACATAATTAACATGTTATCCTCAGACCTTATGCAAGTTTCAACAGTTGTTTCAATCATGCACGTGATTTCAAAAAGATCCACTTCTAAATCTCTTGTGTTTTTACTTTTTAGTCTCCTTCAATCTGGATCTTAAGTTTTCTCCTTGACTCTTGTGACTTTTTTTTACATTTGAAGATCATAGCTGATTATTTTGTAGATTATATTTCAGTTTGTGTGTGATGGTTTTGCATGTTGAGGTTCAAATTATATATCTTCTGCAGCAATATTATAGAAGTGATGCTATATTGTTTTTGTTGCATCCTAACAGGTCATACATGATTTTGGTCTCAATGCCGATGAATATAGCCATTATGTTGTTCATAGGTATTTGGGCTTTCTTTTCTTTCTTACTAATACTTCTATATACTAATAATTCTATATACTAATAATTCTTTCTTACTTTATTTCGAGACATCTTTTGGTATACACATTTCTGTTGGTTGTATGGACGCACACACGTGCATAAACGCACATGCACATACACACACACACAATTTAAACACTGGTTTACAAAGTTGTGGTTTACAAAGTTGTTAGTGATTATTTATTACAGGCATTCGATGTTTCAGCCCCAATCCCACCATCTCTGTTGCCCTTCCCTCCTCCATTGTCTTCGTTTTCTCCACCACCCCTCAGGCCCACAATAAATTTTTTATATCGCTTGTTACCACTAAATGGCTAATGGAACGATCAGACAATACTTAAAGAAAGTTTCTGAAAATTATCGTATCTCACCATGGAGGCGTTAAGTCCCTGTCTGAGGGTTTACTAAGTGCTTGTTGCAAGTTTAGCCTTCTGTGCTAGTGTTTTTGTTAGTTGGCATCTCTGTTACATTCTCATCCAATCTGATGCACTCCCACTGGGAGGTTCGTATTGTAGAGTTTGGAGATGTCTGGAAGATCCAAAGTAGTTAACTGGGCAGTCTAGTTGGCGGCTTGGTGGCAACTGTTAGGGGTGTGAATGTGGCTGTTGAAGCCTGGGGAAGGAACTTGGCTGCCCGCCTCCTGAGATTGCCCTGGATATCTCAGACAGTACTGGGATCCAGAGAAATTTTTGAGGCTAGTTGATCTCTTTTGAGATTTAATTATGACTCTCTGAAACAGGGCCAGTAGATGAGCTTACATGGCATACTTAACTTTCAGTGAGTTTATTTACTAGTGGTTTGTGGAGTGTTGTGACTTACATGTCTTTGAAGTCAAAGTTGAGGGTCATGACTCCTCCACTCTAGGCAGACATTTGCCAAGTGTGATTGAGAAAGTTGATTGCTTCAGAAAGTGCTTTGTCTTATGCAGGAGACTGGATGAAACTTATTGCCGAAAGGGAGCTGGAAAGAACGAGAGGGATTTTTTTCAGATCTATTGGGAAGGAGAAATCTAAACTTGTGATTGCTCTGATCTCTTTTTTTCCTGTTCATCCAGTAGAAAAGGTTTTGGCTTTATTTGGCCTTTGAGTCTGTACTTGGGAATTTCAATCTATGTAATGGAAATATTCTTGTAGGGTAAGAAAAAGTGTGCCACAGAGTAAAACAAGAAATTTTAATCACTGACACAGAATGAAATAACTGATTCTGCAGGAGGGTCTTAAGTTGATACAAGAACTTACCACCCAGGTAATATCTGAAAGCTAATACTTAACTTTGATCATGTAATTTTTTTATGGTAATATAACTAATATGGCTTTGAACATGCTTTGGGACAAGTAAAAGTGGAAATTACGTACTCATTTGGTAAGAACTCTTTTTTCACCCTACTAATCCTTTGAAACCCAGCTACGACCCACTTCACTGTCTCCTCTAAGTTTCATGATTATGCTAAAGATATCTTTTCCTATGTGTCTATGGAACTCTGTACACTGCCTAATTCCATTGACACAGAGGAAATTACACTGGTGAAATTATTTGAATTAGATATTTTTGTCCTCACCGGAAATATAAGAATCTCTTTGGGAGAAGGGTAAAATTTTGTTGAAACAGTAGGTATGGAATAATAATAACTTCAATTTGTCCTTAGTTCACTGTTTATAAATTATCTTAGTTGTTCCTCACCACACGCTTCTGAGATAGGAATTATAGCCTGCATTTTACAGATGAGGTAAAGTGCTTTAGAAAGCGAGATAATTGGTTCAGGTTTATGTTGGTTAGTAATTGCTGGAGCCATGATTGGATTTTAGGCTTTCTAATTATAATTTAAGGTATTTTGATGAGAACAGTCCCTTTGTAGGGAGTTGTCTTATTAGAGGATTTGGATCTTAAAACTCTTAAGGGTATTATTGCATTAGGGTCAGTTATAGAAGAGCAGATAAAGAGGGTCAGTTTGGAGCTGAGATGCAATCAGTTGACAATTGGGGAAAAAAGTAAGCGAAAGATGTTTCTTCTGCTACTCACAAATTTTAGAATCTTTAGCCAGTTCTTTCAGTTAATGGTTTTTTATTTTTTCTGTAACTATATTCATCCATGTATTGTTTGGGATACACTACAAGATACAGAATGGATATTCTAGAGGGACATAGACACTTAGCAAGAAAATAAAGCAATAACAATGTCCTATATGATAGAAAAGAGCCAACTGAACAAATAGGCAGAAAAGTACATTTTAGGCAACGTAACCAGCTGTGGGTTCAAAAGGTGTGGTTGTGGACACATGCGTTCTTTGGCTGAGAACCGCCTCCCCAGGCTGACCAAAGGCGATAGGAGAACAGGGGAATGAAGGAACAGAGGAACGGAGGAACAGGGAAACTGGGCTACAAGTTGGTTGGTGATCAGTGCCATTTCTTTCTCTGTCTCCCTTCTCTCTCTCACAGCGCAGTTATATAGAAATCATGAAAGGTGAGGATGCCCAGGGGTAAATATTATTCGGAGGCAGTGAGCTAGCATGTTACAAATCATAGCATCAACTGTCTTCTTGTGTCTATACAAAAAGGACATTGCTAAACCATGCAAAGGGTGTAAAGGAAAGAGAAAATCGATATAGGATTATTAGTGCTTGATGGAATTGGGTGTGCCTTAGGAGCACTGTGGTGGGAGTCCTGAGGGAGGAGCAAGGACAAGCCAGTGTTATCCAATAAGTAGTCATTAATGCAAAGACCCCGAGATTGAAATCTTGGCATTCTTGCTGAATAAAAAAAACGCTAGTTTGTAGCTAGAGTGTTGTTAGCTGGGATGGAGTTGTTTAAGGTGAGACAACAGTGGTTCCATTATATTTTTGAATGAACTAGGGTCAGGGACTTGATTTAGGGAAAAGCCCTATGATCTCTCCGTCAGAACCATCTGTAAGTATACTTGCCCTGATGTTGGGTATGGATTCAATATTTTGGTGCTCAGGCCTGGTGGTACTTGGAGACCACCAAGGAAATGGAAGGTATTTGGGACCACTGGGATCAAACAAAGCACATGTGCTCTACCACTTAATCTGTCTCCCTGACCCTACTAGATATTTTAAATAGATTACCTTGGCTGCCACTTGAAAAGCTCTTTGGAAAAAAACAAAAACAAAAACAAAAACAAAAAAAGCTCTTTGGAGGTCATAGAGCAGATAGTTCAGAATTTTATCACATTTGAGTTTTGAAAGAAGATGGTTGTAGTGGCGGTGACGAGAGGTACCAGTGGATTTCAATGATGTTTTTGAAGTCTAATTAATTGATACTACAGATATGAAGTCTGGCAGATAGGATAGGGAAGAAAAGGAATGTTAGTAATGATGAAGCATCAACTTAGTGAAATGAAAATTTAGTATTTCCTGGTTAGTGTTGTAAATGCTTACATGGATGACCTCTTCATAGGGACCCTATCAGGCATTCACTATTATTACCATCTGACACTTGTGGTATGTTTGCACAGGAAATGATGAGCAGAGGGAGGTTTTGAATTCATTTATTAGGGCTTCAAAGTCTCTCCCTGACTATTAGACTTTTGACCTAAATATCTGGTTAGATTAGAGAATGATGCATTTCACCACGATATGAAAGACTTGGAAGTGTGAAAAATTAAATCAAGAGTTCTGTTCTGAGTCCTTACTAGTCCTGGGTGCCAGTGGTTCAGCACGGTAGGCTGGTTAACTAGCACAGGGTTTTTGGACTGGGGGTGAGCAAGGAGCCCCGGTCATGGGTTGAGTCTGTCCGTGCCCAGCTCAGGTGTTCCAGATGAGTTGAGAACTGAAGTGCTTCATGGAAGCACCACCTTGGCCTTCAAGTTGGTGTGAAGTCTCGT